CACTGGCCCCTGACCAGAGCCGGGAATCAAGCTCTTGACCGGAATCAAACCTGGGACCCTTCTGTCCCCAGGCTGATGCTCAATCCATTGAGCCAAACCAGCCAGGGCATAATTTGTAGGTGTTTTTGTTTAAAAAAATTTGATGAGCCTACACATTAGTCATGCAGTGGCTCTCTCTTTTAAGATGGCTAAAAACAGTGTCTATGAATTTTACTGTGAGGTATTTGGGTAAGTGTTAAAATGCTGTTGGTAGTTGATATTACTGTCTAGTATTCTTTCTTTTCTTGGCTAATAACAGAATCCCACTTTGTCCTTTTATGAACTTCCCTTCCACCATCTAGTAGGGCTGTTTGTCATATGACCTCAACTCCAGCATTCGAATGGGGATGACTGTGTACTTAAGGATTAATGCAGCTGGTGACCTTAAGTTGAAGCAAACGGTCATTTACTGTTTTGAAAAACTAGAATTTTAAGTATTATGCTAAATCTACTCTGGAAAAATAAAGCTGGGATGATATCATGGTTTGCTGAATGTTTTGAGCCCACTGTTGACATCTACTGTTCAGAAAAACAATAAATTTATTTCAAAATATGACAATGTACCCAGTCACTCAAGAACTCTGATGGAGATGTACAGTGAGATTAATGTTTTCAGGCCTGCTAACACAACATCCATTCTGCAGCTTATGGGTCCAGGAGTAATTTTGACTTTCAAATCTTATTATTTAAGAAACTAGTGGCCCGGTGCATGAAATTTGTTCCTGCCTAATTTGCATATTTCTCTATTATTATATTAGACTAGTGGCCTGGTGCACGAAATTTGTGCACAGGGGAGGGTGTGTTCCTCAGCCTGGCTTGCACCCTCTCCAATTTGGGACCCCTCGAAGGATGTCCTACTGCTAGTTTATAGGGATCGTGCCTAAACCAGCAGTGGGACATCCCTCTTGCGATCTGGGATTGCTGGCTCCTAACCGCTCACCTGCCTGCCTGCCTGCCTGATTGCCTTGAACCACTCTGCCTGCTGGCCTGCTTGCGCCCAAATGCCAAACCCCCACCCC